AGATTCAGAACAAACTTGCGTGCCGCCGTCGATGAATAGACGAAGCATGGTTAAGCTATGACTAGTACAGGAGGCGGTCACATCAGATGACCTTGTGTTCACTTCGTTGATGCGATGCATAGTAAGTATTGCACTATTCCACAACGTATCAGTATGAATTGCAGTTCTCCACGAAAATTATTTTGTTAGCATATTTTTGCGCACCTTGTAGTTTTTGCACAAAACTAAATCTGCGAACCGTCCCTACCTTAACGACTAAGAAACGGTAACCTAGTACCCAGCTCAAATCGCACCGATCCAATTCCAAAGCTGCAGCCCGTGCTTTGTCAAAAAGCCTTTTAGCTTTGAGAAAACTATCTACTTTTAAGGACTGGCTAATTATGGCTTTCTACACAAATGTTTTGTGCCACGAGAACACTGCCGATCGCTTAGTTTTGTAGGCCTAGTAACAACAGCGAACTATGAGCAACAGTACTCTTTCAGATTCAGTTTGTCGTAAAAGCTCGGTCAAGAGATTCTCATTACAAATTTTGACGAAAAAATTCCCAGCCTTGCGATTCGATAAATGCATATGCCTGGAAAGGAGATTTGATCAACTTCTGCTCCTTGAGTCGAGTATCACCTGACCTTCATTCCGCACACAACAACACACACACCGGATATCGTGCCTATCTCATTTTTTCAACTTTCCAATAACCAGTTAGTCACTTTTTTAGTAAGCAGTCGATGGTTGCTCGCGACACCTAATGAGGGAAGAAGGTGTCCTTCCAGCATACACTGAGCCCATGCGAACTCTGCGGGAACTTTTGGTCAAATTATCTTGGTCAGAATTAGGGTTTTCGTGGCATCTCCAGCGCACTCCCTGTTTTGTTTTTCACGATGTTGCTTTTGAAGACTCCCCGTTTTCCTCCGACTTTTGAGGTTATATCGGTCTACAAATCCATGAGAAGAATACAGAAAGGAAGTCCAAGCTCTAGAGCGAGTTCGTCTCCCTTTACAGTCTTCTGAACAGCTGTACTACAAAGAAACTAGTTGCTCAATTTTCCTAAAATTACGGATAATAGAAACACTCTTCTTTCCTCGAGTGCATTAGGCGTGGTAAACTGAGGCCTATCTTTATTACACCTGCGCGGACCGTGAATGGGCATACATTTCGTGAATTTGTCGGGAGTTTCCAGTGGCTCAGAGATTTGCGTACAAAGAGTAAACGGAATCATGAGTTGCAAACTTCTAATAATAATATTGATAACTTCTGTGCCATTCTTACCTAGTCTTTAAGAGGAAACCCCACCGGTGCCCGAGGCTGGCGTTGAGTTTTAGATATGTGTAATCAGCAGGAGTCCAGACTATTCGAAACTGGAAAACAAGACTTTGAAACACAGAAGTAATGTGTAAATACAGACACGAGTTGAGGGAACTGTGCAAGCTAACATCTAATGAAACTTTCGCATATCAGTTAGTGAAAATGGTGGTGAGTTCGTCGCTATTTCTCAAACACTTGATCGGGCCATGATCGAGCTCTACATATCTCAGCGACTTCTCTCGTGACTGAGTAATACGATCTCGAGTGTCGCAAGTCTCGTCTGCTTATAGATGGAAAGGTCCTCAGTAAGCTCAAAATGGGTAACCTAAGCTGTCCAGTTTTCTGTAACCTTATAAATACTCTAAGACACCATACAGCAGAGCGCCGTCTTTCTCACCGAATATATTCAGAATCTGGCCCACTATTAGTTGCGTGGGAGGATCAACTGTTGGAATTTTCCTATTACATTGCTCATACCTCCGTAGTAATAGTAATATGATAGAGTCATACGAAGTTGTCTCTTCATAATAATGTCCAGTCAACCCAGCCCTACGAGCTTTATCTGAAATGCTAGATAGGCATGCTGATAATATTAATACCTTCGGACTCATACAATACAATGCAATACAATAAAACTCATACAATGACGTTGGTCAAGGAATGCTCAACGTGTAACATCTTAAAAGTCGGAGCTTTTCCTATGAGACGGCGGCTAAGACCGGTGTCGCTGTGGGCCCAATGGGAAGAGTTGAAGAAGCGGTTTCGGAATGAAATTCTTAATAAAGTGCTATAGATATATCAAAAGATCAACGCACTTCGAAATGGACGAAGTGTTTTCAAACCATGGGACGGTGGTTATCGTTGAATCGTTGTCAGGAGGTGGTAAAATAAAGGTAGTTGTAAGAATACCTTAACTCACGCTACATCAGCTCATCCACAAGCCGCTGAACGCGCAGTGGTCAGCAACATGTTAAAAACCGTAATAAGTCTCTGCACGGGTGAGGGTGAGCGTCTCGAACCACGACGTTTAGCTCGTGAGATAGCTGTGCTGTGAAGGGGTCACAAGGTTATAGAAAATGTCACACTAATACGAAGAGTGCCACGTTTAAAAATAAATTTTCAGCACGTCTACCCTTAGTCTCCGATAAAGTTAGCAATGCTATACAGCAGAGAATTGTCAGAGCTGAAGTGCAAGAAGTTGTACAATCAGAGATTGCTCCTAATACCAGCAACAAGCGTCTATTAGTTCGACACATTCTCGAGGACAAGCAGCGCATAACAAAAGATAGCATCACATGTTTTTATGAAAAAACGGCCATATTGCGCACAGGTAGGCGTCATCTACCGAAGCTGGACATGATATCTCAAAGCGAAAAGTAGAGCCAGAAGTCATTATCTCTCTCGTCATTATCTTTCTGCTCAAATTATGTGTTTTAAAACTGTTGCCTTCGCTGCAGTTGAATACTTATGACAAAAAGCAGCACAAAAACACGTGTCTTCTTACGATGCACTTTTTATTCTCTTC